TCATATTCATATATGCCCTTTCTTTGTACTGTGTTTTTATCTTCGTTGCATGTTTCATATTACTTATAAACCAATTACTATTGCTCTGCCTAAAACAGTTCTTGCATATTGATACTAGAAGGGTTAATAAAAATTTCAGAACTCCCCTTGATATTGGCCATTTCAATGATGGCATTTACATTCTAATCCTGTTTCAGATTGCATGTGAAAATCTAACATTCAGGATCTCGACAGTTATCTGGATGGGTTCTCAGATGATGAGGATCAAAGAACTAACAAGCACGTTTGTGTTTGCGTTGCCTGGATGGTGGGAGTCAGCCCACTGCCAGCTCCTAATAGGACAGAGAAATTCTCCCTGTGCATTAAATGGGCTGTAATAAACACAGATGAGAAATACGAGCCTGTACAGAAACTATGCTGGTCGATAAATTGAGCAGAACAAAGAGGGCTCGTGCTTGGGACTGTGGGGAGATGACGCCTGGCTGGGCAGACACTGGCTGCTGCAGCCCAGCCCGTGGCCGCCTCCAGGAACTGCAGTGTCCCCGCAGGAAGGTGTCTTTCGCGTTCCTCTCTTGTTCGTGCAATTTTTGTAAAATTCAGTTGAGGGTAGAGAAGAGCACTAAAAACTATATTCTTGCCATGAGAACATGGCACATTCTGAAAAGCATGGGGCAAAAATGCAAGTCTGAAAAAATGGAGGTGGGGGACAAAATCTGGGTGAGTCGGGAGAATCCGTTCCGTGCGGACGGGGCCTGTGCCGGGGTAATGCAGCTTGCTGCCTCAGCAGCCACTGCGGCACGGCAGCCACTTTCTGCATGGCTTTGAAGTCTTAAGCACGAAATATATTTTGAAAGTTAATTAATTAGAATAACTTCTTTTTGCTTCCAGAATATCAAGAGTGCTTTCAGCAGTATTATGGATAAAAAGCACTAACTATTCCCTGTGCTCCTTCCCAAGCCATCTCCGCTGGGCCATGTGAGATCCGTGCACTGGGAAGCCACCGCCTGCGCGAGCCCGCGCTCCGGTCTGGGTTACAGAGCTAGAGGTCTGTGGGTGTGTGGGATTACTTGCTGACCACCTCTCTAGTTTAGTATCAGTGACTTGATAAGACTGGCTGTTTGGTAGAGCTGCCTTTTACCTTTTAATGCTCTTCCCTCCCCAGAAGGCTGCTGCTGGTAGTGACACGTCCTGGTGGCGCTCCCTGGTCTTGCTCCAGGGCCGGCAGCAGAGATGAGGGCGGACGGTGGGCTCTGGGCGGACAGTGGGCTCTGGGCAGATGGGCTGCGCGGAGCCCGAGGCACGCTCCAGTATCTGGAGCTGGGAACAGCACGTGGTCGGTCGATCGTGCTGACACGAGGAGAGGAGAAAGTCGTTCCTATTGAGGAAGGTGCATCTAGTGCCAAATGTCAGCTGAGGGCGAGACTTTCTTTTTGCACAGTGCCTTGTTCCTGGAGAGTGTAATGCAGTGACTGAAAAAATGAGAGGTGGTTCCAGCTCTTTGTATTACATTGAGGATGCAAAGAGCCATGGGTTTGAAGACAAACACCTGCTGTTCATTTGTCTTGTCTTTAGCAAAACATCATTCTCTTCTTGCTTTAATCTTCTTGAAAGGAATCAATAGTTTTTCCTTACCTGGGATCACTGGGAAATTAATGTAACTCTTACTGTGGAGTGAGTACTCTTCTGTCTTCACATAGTGTGATTAAACATGTAAAGTTTGCTGAAGCGTGGGAAGACTCGCTCTGTGTCGGGACTGGAAGGCCGCTCCTTGTCTCATTTCTTCAGCTGCAGCTGCTGGCTTCCTGCCTTTCCTCTTCCTCTCCTCTTCCAAAGGGTGATTTTCACCATTTCCTCTTTGCAGATTTTTTCCCTTGATAGGATGTCTTTATTCCAATGCTAAACTACCTTGTGAATGCCTCTTGGGAAGGAAATAGGTGATGTGAATGCTTTTTATTTATTTTGTTAAAGATCTCTGGGGAACACAGTGTGTGGAGAGCATTCTGTATATGCTGGAAACTGGAGGCGAAAGGAAGGAAGGGGTTTTTGCAGGAGAAAAATTGGCCAAAATCTTTCTTTCAGTTACAATTATTAAGTTTTTCTTTTGGACTCTGAATGCTGTGTTTGTATTCAAATTAAGTGGTGTGGAGGGGGGGCTTCCAGGAATTAGAGGTGGGGAGCGGATAAAAACACTCTCCAGGCAGGACGTTGGCGATGCCCGGTGCTGCACTGCATGCCCTTTGTGAGTGTTGTCCCTGGCTCCTTCCCTTCTGCCATCTGGAACCCGTGATGCTCGGGGGGGAGGACTCTTTTCTCGGGCTGGAGATGTGCTCAGTGCCCGCGGCAGCGACAGGCTTGGACGGGCCAGTGCTGGAATCCGCTGTCCCACGGCAGCCACTGCAGCCCAGCCGGGCAGGGCCTGCTCTGGCAGCAGCAGTGGAGTCCTTGGGCAGGCAGTGGTGAGTGGAACAGGCCTGTCACTCCTCTGCAAAGTGCTAAAACCCGTGGCCAGGCTTTTTTTTTCCTTTTTTTTTTTCTTTGCGTTTTTTTCCCCTTTTGTGCTATTGCACCTGTGTGATGTTTTTTCCCGTTGGGAACTGATGTTCACTTGGATTGCTGTATGAGAACTGGAAGTAGGGCAGAGGCTTCACCTGGGTTTTGTTAGCTTGCTTTTTCTCCATTTTCCTCACAGGGGCCATTTTTCTTCATGGGAGACAGGAAAGCTAGTTGTTGCCCTACCTATAGTTGAAGAGGGTGTTACCTCCTGTCCTGCAGCCCGGTGTGTGTAGGACGGGATGTGAGAGGACAGCCCTGTGTGGTCCCCTCTGAACCTTGGAGACAGAAGCCCCAGCCTTCTGCCTTCTGCAGGCTGTGGGAGGGGTCTCTGCATTGCCTGTAGCATCTGTCTCCCTCCTGCCTCTCCCGTGAAACCCTGTATGCAAGTGGATTTGGGGGTTCTGGGCCCTTCTGCAGTGATGAGGAAGCCATGTGTTCCCTGATGTACCATCTGTCCTGGTGGTGTGCGTTTTGAGAGAGGAGAGGCAGGCTCCTGACTCCCTGGTAAGCCCGAGGTGTTGGGACGCCAACACGTGACACGAAGGTCCGTTGCCGGCTGCCGCACGTTTGCACCCTCGCCCTTGAGAACTGAACCAGGCGAGCAGGTTGGTCCTGGGCCAGCCTTATTGGCTGGAACGGTCCCCGTCAGAGACATGCTGCATCAAACTGCCTCTGTCATCGAGTGGTAAAGAAAGTAATTAAATGATAATCCTGGGGAAGAAAGGACTTAAAAGTGTATGCCATGGTTTGGGCGACAGCTCGCAGCTCTGAGGACTCACGCTCGATGGCCACTGCACACTGTTAGTTCTTTGTGTTTGATTTAAAGCTTCATGTGAGTAATCTAATTAACATTGAATTGAGTTTCCAGTACAGTAGCTTGTTTGGTTCAATAAGAACACATTTATACTAAAGGTTAATGAAAAGAATTTTGCTTTCATTGAATTCATTAAAAGTGGTTCTACAATCAAGGCTTACTAATGGAAAAGAGATTAAATATTCATGTCTATAAATTCCTCATGTCATTTCTGATTTTCCTTAAACTCTGCCTCCCTGGACTGGATTCCAAAAGTGTCTGAAAGCTCTAATGAAATACCAGTTTGGATGTTAATTGGAGATTTATCCTGTTTAAGTAAAAAGACTTCCACAGATGTATACTTAATGAATCTTGAGCACAGGTTTCTATTACAGATGGAGAGAAATCGTGATGAGGTCTTATCCATAAAAGCAATATAGGAGCCAATCTCAAGGAGCAGTATTATGTTCTTAATACAGTTTTTAAGAAATGCAAATAATGTTTTATCTTCTGGTCTCACAGCTTTATTTGTGCTATTGAAATAGCTTTGAATGAAGCAGAAGTGCAGCAAAATTTGCATCAGAAATGTATTAGCCAGGCATGATGATAAAACCTGAATAATGGACATTAGAGATGCTTAAAGATTGAAGACATTTTATAACAATCCAGATGTATGTGCTACAAATATACCTGAGTACTTTTGAGTAAATGTTGGATTGTGGTTTCTGTAATCTCTTACCCAGCAGCTCTCAAGTCCTGGATACCCTTTGAGCTGGGGCTTTGCTGTTGCTTTACGTGTGAGCAGGAGTTTCTGCAGTTGTTGCTTTGTGTGTAGGTTCCTGGTATCCCAATTTGAGGAGATGCTCTGGGAGTGCTTTGCAGCTGCATATTGATGTCATTGCTGGTGTAGAAACAGAAATGCATGGTGACAAGAGGTTTAAGTTACTTTGGACGCTCACATGCATGGTTTCCTTGGAAAGAAAGAAAGAAAAAAAGATAAATGCTCTTGTAAACACCTTCAAAATGATGAATGTCTTGCCTCAATATAGTATGTGTGTTATGTATATGTGCTGGGCATATATATGTCCAACAAGCGGGACAGTGCTGGGCAGTGTCTTCATCAGGGGGCGTGTGTGGAGAGAGAAGGTTTGGCTCCTCTCTGGATCTTTACATCGTGGTTTGTTGCAGCTTGAGATCTCAGTACATTTTGGTCTCTACCAGTGGTGGATGTTTATATTGGACTCACTGGCAAGGAGTGATGAGAAAGAAAGCAAGTTATCTGTGTGATGTGTGAGCCAAGAGAACAGAAATGGAGGTCTCGAGAATGAGCATTTGGTTATAAGTAGTTAAGTAATTGGCCAAGTCCAAGGGGGAAGTGTTGCCTTAATAGTAATTACCACCCGTGGTTTCCAGAACAGCCCAGAGGCCTTGCAAAGGCTGAGAAGGTCATCACACTGAGCGGGTGGGCGACTGGGTGCTGGTCACAAACCAAACTCTGGTGTTAGATTCTTCTGACTGCAGCCAGTGTGACCAGAGAAGCCAGGATGTGATCGTGTAGCCCAGTGTCCGCCAGCAGGAGGTCACAGGCAGATTTGTTGTTTGTGACTTCTGGGAATTAAGTAACTGGCATTTCTTCTGCTCTTTGTCTTTCCAGGCATACTTCCGACAGGGTGTGGCCCTTCAGTACCTTGGACGTCATGCAGATGCACTGGCAGCATTTGCGTCGGGGCTGGCTCAAGATCCCAAGAGTCTGCAGCTTCTGGTTGGTATGGTCGAGGCCGCCATGAAATCCCCCATGCGAGGTAAGTGAGCACCAGGAGGTGATGGGTGATCTCAGGGGGGTGATCTGCTGCTGCTGTACTTGCAGGCGGTAGTTTCAGTGCACGGGGAGGGCTGCCAGCACCTGAGACAGAGAGAAACTGGAGGCCTGAAGGGAAGAATTTCAGGATTTGGCTTCTCTGCTAACTCGGCAGGTGCTGAGAACGGAGCCTGAAATTGGAGGAGTGAAAATATGTTGTTCTGATTCAGTGGGACAGCGAGATGGTGATCCCCAGTTGGAGAGGTACTGGAGATGAATCAGACTGTGGTGTGCAGCAGTTCCAGTGAAGTCCTTGCTTGTCTGTCTCCTGGTCTGTCAGTGCAGATTGAGGCGCGCGTTACCGGGGCCTGGCTTTAGTGTTACTTGGAGCAACTTCCCCCAGTGCTCTGATGCTTGGGCATTGGGAATGGGCAGTCTTAAGTCTCAGGGCCAGTGTCTGCCCACAAGAGCTCAGCAGCAGCTTTTCCATGGTACTAATGTGTCTCAAAACACAGTGTTCCAGAAGCAAAAAAGGCTGCTCTGCTAATTCACTTATATATTCCAGAGGAGTGTTGAAATCACACGGACCTTGAGGCCGTATTAGCTGTATGAGCGTTTTGTCTCTCTTTCATAATGTCCCCATTTCTAGGATTCTCCTCTTTAGAGGAAAGAGGTAGTCTTCTCTTTGCACTGTTCTCTTGCAAGCTCTGTGTTGCAGTGTCCTAATGGTATTTCCCAGGAGGAAACATGGCAGTTCTCATCCTCAGCAGATGCTGCTGGGGGCCCCAGGGCTTAGGGACCAAGAAACACTGAAATGAAAAAATATCCCCGTTGGTGTTTCCTTTTTTACAGTGTTTTTCTCTATTCTCCAAAATGAATTCATCTGGAAGTTTCTGCCCTATATAGCAGTTACCTTGTGAAGATAATTTCATTTGGTATCCAGAGGTACCGTGGCTTCTGCTTAGAATGCAGGTAACGTGGTATTTCTGCGCGAGCAGCCCCAGGTTTGTCTGGGTGATCTCACCGTCTGGCTGCACTGCAGCTGTCTGTTCACGCTGCTGCTCCCTGCTGTGCTTCTCAGTGTTGATGCTTTCCAGTTGTTAACCTTCCACTGACTGGTTTGGCAGATTCTAGATCAGCCTTGCTCATAGAGGGCTAGTTTTACTTTGAGAGTGTGTGTGTACTGTGCGAGTGTAATGACTATTCGGTGTCTCGGTCCCGCTGTGCCAGGCACTCTGCAGGCCCTTCAGCAGTTGTTACCTGTTGTTCTGGTCCCCTTTCCAAGAGCTCGCTGTCTAGGAGAGACACAGAAGATCTCTCCAGGTATTTTCTGTGGTGTAAGGCCAGTCTCTTGTAACTCGTTTCCACCGGGATGATAGATTGTGTGAAGACACAGACAGACTGCTGTGAGCAGCAGCATCCAGGGTGCTTGCACTCAGAGAGGGAAGAGGAGCATGAAAAGGCCAAAGGGCTGTAAGTGTCAGTGGACCCTAACGATCATTAAATGCAGTCACCGAGGGATTCAGGGAGTGTGGGTCTGCAGCACGTGGAGGTGAACTCCCTTCCCCAGTGACTCAGTCGCTGTTGCTGCATCTCTCACCTGCTTGTGGCTGTCTCTTCCCATTTGCTGTTGTAGTGGAGCAGCCATGAACTCTGTGTCTGCCCTTCTATTACTGTACTGGTTCTCCCTTTCCTACCAGACTTTAGGGCTACCAGGAGCACTTTCCTTTTGTTTTCCCTTTTTTCCTTTGTCCTTCTCTGCACCCCCCTCTCCCTGTGCCTGCCTGGGTTACCTGGTGACGGTCTGAGTAAGCTTCTTAAGACAGGAGCCGAGTTCCTACCTGCTCGTGCTGTGATAAGCATGGTAAGCGGGGGCTTGTTACAGAAACTGTTTCTGTCCTCTTACATCTGCATTTAATTCCAGGATCGAATTGGATGTCGGTAACTGGCATCGTGTTCACACTGTTTGCCTCTTCAGGGAAGTGTTAAAATCCTCTTTTGTCATTGTTTATACGCTCAGTGATTGTAGAGAGGCAAAAATGATGAAAACAGAGCAAGTGGCTTTCTGAGGTTGCTGTGGTGGTGTTGATTCAGGTGAGAGCATTGCATCAAGTAACGCCACTTGGCCAGCGAATTCTGGAGACCTGTTGTTTTGATGTCCCTACGGAAACGTGCAGCCAAGACCCTTCATCTGCGTGGTGGAAGCAGTTACCAGTTATAAGTAGTCTGGCGGGTCCAGTGCTGTTATTGTGCAGCAGTACTTTCTGCAGAAGGAGCAGCTTCTCTGCAGTTCTTGTCACCTCTCTGGGTGCACATTGTGGGCTGTGGCGTCTGGGCAGGTACAGGTTTTGCAGACATTCAGCTGAAAGTTTGTGCTGAAGGAGCAGAAGCTGCAGTGCTCTTAGGCACTGCCGCGGGCCCGTTTCCCGCTTCCTACAAAACTGCACTGGTGTTTCCTGTATTCCTGCTGCCATTAAGCTAGTCTTCAGAGCTCGGTATGAGACTGCTCTGCGTGCTCCTGCTGTCCTCCTGAAGTGCTTTCTGCAAGGAAATCATCAGCTTGCTGGTTGATCTCTTTTGATGTACTGGATATCAGATGATGCATTTGAGCCATGAGTTCCCATAATAAATCTTGGTTTGATTTGGGCAGTCTGGCCCTTAGCACATGTGTCATTTGGTAACCAAAAACCGAAGATGAGTGATGTAGGTGATTTCTAGATGCAAATTACTTGGTTTGTGGAGTAACTCTGCCTTTTTGTATTTCAGAGTCTCTGGAGCCCACCTATCAACAACTGCAGAAGATGAAGCTGGACAAGAGCCCCTTCGTTGTGGTGTCTGTGATTGGCCAGGAACTTCTGACTGCGGGCCACCACGGGGCCTCTGTGGTGGTGCTGGAGGCTGCCCTGAAGATCGGCACTTGCAGCCTAAAGCTGCGGGGATCGGTGTTCTCTGCGCTGAGCAGCGCGTACTGGTCGCTGGGGAACACGGAGAAAAGCACTGGATACATGCAGCAGGACTTGGATGTGGCCAAGACTTTAGGTGAGGGTTCTCCTTTCACTTGCTTGAGTGCTGGATTGGTACAGATGGAACAAATTAATTGCTGTGTTAATGGTCAGCCTCCCTCTATAACGCTCAGGTTTCCGTGGGATTTCACAAGCCGCTAAATCAAATCTGAAATTTCTGAAGTGTGCAGACTGCAGGCTTGTGCAGGCTGTTTACCTGTTTGCGGGAAGGGGATTATGATCAGTGAATGTGCTACAGTTTTACAGGGTCCTCTAGTTTTCTAGTGTCATGTATGTGGGAACTGGTCTTGTGTAGACTTGGGCTGAAAACCTTAAATGAGTCTTAAGTGAAGCAATCTGTTTTTTCAAGAATTCAGTGGAAAAAGTTACTCAGTCTGAGCTTCTGAGGCAGTTGCCAGGGAAGGAACAAATCAGGAGTGAGACAGTGGATGAACAAGAGGGTTTAAAAAATAAACAAATAGGAAAATCCCTCTTGTGTACGGTATATCCTGCACAACACCAAGGGCTTTCAAGCTTTCAGAGTGCTGCAGGAGACAGAAAGGCGTAACCTTGCCGGGGTGCAGAAGATGGTGCCCGAGGGCTCCAGCTGGGAGGGCTCACCGACAGTGCTGTGCTGTGTGTCTGGGCTGAGCTGCGCTGCAGAACTGCTTTCTGGAGAATGCTGGCATGGTCTTTGCTTGTTTTAAGCCCGTGCCATTGGCTGACTTTCACAAACAAATCACTGATGTCGAGCAAGGAATAAACATGGAAGAATGGGAAATTGCCAAGTGTTAGGCCAAAGCAGAAATTAAAACAACTCTAAAAATAAGGTTGATGGCTACTGTAGAAGTTTCTGAAGGCCCGCAAAGAGGAGGGTTTTGGCTGGGTGTTAAAAGACAAGGATGAGTTTGTTCTGGTGCTGGCTCTCACGCCAGAGCATCACTCGTACAGCAAGGTGCAGGCTGTCTGCTGGGCGCTCCCGCAACGCCGCTGTCAGCTAACTGCTGTTCTGTTTGCATGTGACTCAGGTGACCAGACGGGAGAATGCCGAGCTCATGGAAATCTGGGCTCCGCATTCTTCTCCAAAGGAAATTACCGGGAGGCCCTGACTAACCACAGACATCAGCTGGTGCTCGCCATGAAACTCAAGGACAGAGAGGTAGGAAGCTTGTTAAATAGACCGAACTGGGAGTCAGCACTGCGTGTTTTTCTGGAGAGGTATAAGCATGTCAGTAGGCCTTGTCTGTCTGCCCTGTGTTATTCTGAGAATTTGGAAGCTATGTGATTTCTCTTCCCAACTATTCACTTGCCTTTTCTTAAGGAAACTGTTTGTACCGGCAGATACAGTGTGAGAGTGCAAGCGGCAGGCTGCTTGGTTTGTCCTTTGCCTCCCTGTCCCTGGTCGGCTGCTCCCTCTGCCTTCCCAGCATTGTGCCCATAGAGAGTGTGCTCTGGGGGCAGAGGGAGAAGCTACTGCTGTGCAGGTGTCAGTACATCATCTTGCAGCTGAGCCCTGGCTGTCACCAGCTCTTGTTTTCCCTGTGGTGAAGGTCCTACTGACTCGAATTCTCTTAGGGTGCATCCTATGTTGTGCCTTTTCCAGCCAAGTGATGAGCTAGCTCCCTGCCCCAAATGTTCACATAAAATACGCTTTGTTTAAAAAGTAGTGAGAAGAAAAAAAATCCATGTAAACCTGAGAATACAGTGTTGTGTGAAGTGTAGGGGTTGGTTGGGCTGGATCTGACTTGCCTTGGCCACACACCATGGAGCTCTCGATGTGTTATGCTGAGCCCTATGCCAGGCCGGGGCAGCGTGCTGCAGGGTCTGAGGAGCCTGTCCCGAGAGATTTTACTGAAAGGTCCCTGTAAGGACAGGATCATAATTTTAGTGCCAGTTACAGATACGAAAGCCATTTCTCACTTCTGCCACCAGTGGATTCCCCTCTGCTGTGACTGGGAAAACGGGTCTGGGGTGGGCTTGTGGGCTGCACAGTGGCGAAGGGCATGAACTCATGTAAATACAGGTACTTGTGGGGAGACCTCAAAACTGGGGGAGATCGGTTTCTCACTGATAAGTTGTTGGAAAGATCCCTTTGAATTAGGTAAGTGCTTTACTGGAGTGTTACTGTGGTAGTTGAATATCAAGTAAGCCATGGAGAGATGTATCCTTCAGTAGGTTGTGGGAGGGCTGTGGCTGGTGGAGGGACCTGCTAGACATTTCCATGATTATTTTACCAGCTGGAAAACTCCTCAATCACTCCTGATTTCCTTGTTTCTGTTCATGCAGAGCAGAAAAGCTGTTACTCACCATTGTTTTTATAGTTCTCTTGATTAGTGGTCCCTGTTCCTGCTAAGAGCTGTGTAGCTGTGTATCTGCTGCTCCTCCTCGGTGTATCTCTAAGCGGCGGAGCCTGGCGCCGAGGCGGTGGCAGGAGCCTGGTGGTGGCAGGAGCCCGGCGGTGGCAGGAGCCTGGCGGTGGCAGGAGCACAGCAGCCTCTGTGCCCCAGAGCCCTGGGCTGGCCTGTGGGCACAGCCGGGGCGTTTCACTGACGCCAGGCTGCTGATCTAAATGGATCCCAATGGCTGATCTGGGGGCAATCCTGGGAGTGAAGGCTAATCGTGATAGTTCTTAGTTTATGACACATCTGGGCACATAATTAACAGTTATTGACAACAAATGACTACTTGGTTTAGCAGGAAAGCTGAGCTGCTTGGATTTCCTGTAGGATGTAACCACAGGAAATTAATTTGGCGCTTTCTGATGACATCATCTTGACCACAGAGCTTCCTCTGAACAAAAAGCTGTTTTTCTTGGCCTCCTTTGCAGACGTTTTTATAATGCAAATGTTATAAAGTTGCAGTAGTGCTGATGTGAATCCCACCAGAAGGGAATGTGGTGTGCGACTGTATGAGGTAATTGTTTTACCTCCAACTGCACAGAGAGTTGGCGTAGAAGGTAAAAAGTGCTCTTTTGTGGGGGATACTGCTGCCCTCGGAGCACGGGGTTCTGCGGCTGCTGAAGCACGTGTTTGTACCAGGGCTTCTGCTGGATTGTGTCACCCATAAACTGAGGAGGAGCTTGCAGAGGGTCTGGCTGTGGCATTCAGCTCTGTCCTCCCCCGTGCCGGCCTGGCAGAGGGAGACTGTCAGCTGCGTGGGGAGTCGTGTGAGCTGCTCCGATGAGCGGTGGGTTTCAAACGTTCTTCCCTCCCTGGCGCAGGGGGTCTGCAGCGCCTGTTAAAAGTGCCGTGTCAAGCACAGCCCGTATGCCCAGGCAGACTCTGCTCTTTGCAGGCACAGTGGGGAGACGTTCGGGCTGTTCTGTGGTACTTGTGTCCAGAGAGGGAATGGAGCAGAAGTAGCTGGATTGGGCACACCTCTGGTGTCCCCAAGAGAGACTGTGGGGTGCTGAACACATGTGTGGTTTTGGTCTGTGCAGACGGGTAAGAAGACTGGTTCTTGGCGAGACGCTGTAATGGGCACCATGAAGTTGCCATCTACAGTGTCATTTCAGTGTTTCCATCACAGCTAAGTGTTGGGTTGAGTTTTTTGATCAACTGCATTGGCTGGCCAGGAAATTCAGATGAGCTAATTCTGTGAGATTGTTTCTGAAGGAATTAGCAGACTTAAAAGTACAGTTGATTCAGGAAACTAGAAATCATGAGGGACTCGGTCTGTCTTTCTGTGCGTTCTCTGGTTCCTGTGGAGCTTGGCAGATGGTCACTGTGGTCAGTAGGATCCCACGCTGAAAGGGGTAACAACAGAAGTGGGGTGCAGGAGGAGGGAAGGTAGGCAGGACCACTAGAAGGACAGTTGCTTCTCTCCAGTGGAGGTGAGCGTGGCAGTTGGGCTCCAGGATTGTTTGGATGCAGCTACAGAGGAAATAGCAGCGCAGCTTGGTAGTCTGTCACTTCGCAGGGAAGAGTAAGCAGAGCAGATTTCAGCGTGGGCTGCCTGGGGCTGCTGCAGACCCTGGGAACGTGCTCAGTTGAGAACTCCGATGAAGTCTACGCTGCTGCTCTTCTCACCACGATGTCTCCTGTGCTGGCTGAGCGAGGCCGGGGCGGATGTGCCTGTCGGTGCTCAGCCGTGCCGCCGGCGCCGGGGGGCAGCACGAATCTGCCCTACCCCTGGAGTGAGTGGGTGCTGCCAGCTCGCTGGGGACGAGCGACGCAGCCACCGGTGGCTGGCAGGACCACGGCTCTGTGCGCTGGGGAGCTTGCCTTTGGGCAGCTCCCTTTGCACCAGCTCCCACTGAGGCCCACTTAATTCACACACAGAGGTGGAAATAAAACACTCCGGGCTAGTGGAGCCCATAGGTACAGGCTTGTCTTTTTGGCTATTTTAACCAATCCTGCCCCAAAATAGTGGCGTGGTGTCTGGCACGGGCGTTAGTGCTTCTGAACAGGGACGGGGGAGGATCCAGTCTCTAAGCCCTGGCTGCGGTGAAGTGAAACGTTGACTTTATTTCATTGCTGCTTGATGGTGCACGGATAAAGAGTTACAGCCCTGTAATGATCTTGTGATGAATTCTGTGCTTGCTGTTACTAAAATGTGAGTGCATGTTGTCTGTTGGTTAATGTGCTGAGGAAAATATCTGCTGGTAGCTTGGGCTGCTGCTCTTTTTTTCCAGTTTTTACATAGTGCCCATGAAAGGTCTGTAGGTTTTACAAAGAGAGGTTCTCTAAACCAGCAGCCAGGGTACTCGTCATGTGCCAGGAGAAAAAGACACAGATTGTGTTAAGAGGGAAGACTGGGGTTACATTATTTTAGCTCATTGTCTTCTGCCTGTCACAGAAGCTGGCTCTGATGAGCATCAGAAGCTTGCAGTCTGTGAGTTTCTCCTGAGAGGGAACGAAGGCCTGCAGTGAACTCTTCTATCAGAAATCCTGTACTAGTGTATTTTTCTGCCAGCCAATGGAGTTACAATAAGGAGGTCACCTCTACCAAGAGTAAATATACAGAACAGGGCTCACATGTGACAGACTGGAGATATCTTCACTCAAAATGGGGAATAAATCGAACGGATGCTTTGAGAGAAAGATGGTGGAACAGAAGATCAGAGTCAGTAATTATTTAAGTCTGGATGGAAGATAAACTTGGATTAATTCCTGTGCCTTCCTATAAAAGACTTTGTACATATGAGTAGTATGGAGCAGGGTTGCAAAGCAAGGTTTCACTTAAAAGATCAAGTTAAACTTTAGTGTAACTCACTGACTTGAACCTGACACTGAAGTTAAAATATGTGTCCCGTGATCACCTTCCAGGAAAAGCAGGTGGTGAATTTAATGTCCTAGACTGCCTGTTACCTGATCAATGCAAGACGTTATTACATCTTAGGAGTAGTACTACAAGGTAATTCGTCTTCAGTGAACCTGATGATGCCAGAGAAGCCATGCCCTCCAAGCCATAAATTGCAGAAGTTACAAGTTCATGTTCCAGATTCATTGGCCTGGTTCCATAATGGTAGGCTTCAAGGTGTGATGGCTAAAGACTCGGTCTGACCCCATGTTTGCTGTGGGAAACCAGCCAGGTGATACTGAGTTGGAGTCAGATGTTGGCTCTCGTGCAGTTTTGGCTCTTACGGGCACGTCTGCACGACTGCAGAGGCAGAAGGAAGATCAGGAGTTCACTGCCTCTGGGCAAAAGCAGTTTGTGTCTCGCCTCTGATGAGGTTTATGAGACAGCTAATGCATGTTAGTTGCCTTGCAGTACAAAACTATCCATTCTTAATAACAGAGATGCAGAATGCTGTGTCTCTACTATTATTTTTGAAGGTAACCTGATCTTTTGAAAGCCATCGGGTAATCCATGTAGCATGTGTTGATGCCACATCGCTGGCTGTGGTTTAGATAAGGGTGATGTGACCAGTGAGCCACGCCAGGGTTAGAGGAAAGAATGGAGTCAGAAAGTAAATGTGAAAGCTTTCGATGCCTCTAGTGCTAGTCTGCCATGGCCCTACTCCTCTTCATCTCCAGCTGCTCCGCAGGCATGCAGAACTGTCTTGTGTTACGAATTCTGCAAGGCCAGAGTGCCAAGGTGGAGCTAACGGTGGGTGATCTTTGAGGCCGGGTTGGAGTGGCCCTTTCTGATGACCATCTGTCAGGACCTGTGTTCCTCTCAAAGCATTTCATTTGGAAAAGTACAACGTGAAGGAGT